ACTACTTGCCCACATTTCAAAATGGCCGATTTGTCTAATAGAAGTGCGTCACCACTTTCAACACCCGATTATAATATAGTCCCAATTAATATTGGAAAAAGGCAGATTTATTTGTTCATTTTTAGATGAAGTCTACTTACCAATGCTGACTACTCCCGCATCACCGCGGTGCACGTACAACTGCAACAGCACCACACTCCATAAGACTTTCACTGTTTGCGATAACATGATGGTTGCGAGTTCGCTTCAAAAAACCTCCCGATAAAATACAGCAACCCTTTTCAGGGATAGAATTTGACGTAGAAATCACCGCAAGATCTTGGCGGATTCAAAGCTTTCCTTAGCGATGAAATTCAGTTCCTTGGGAGACGAAAATCGTTCCGAAAATCCAACACTGGATTTTCTTCACCTATTTGCCTCGTACGATTCCGATTGGGGAGGTCGATATAAAAAAAATACCTCACAGTACAGAAAGCCGTCGCCAGATCCTATTTCGTATTCACGGCGCGCTGCGTGCCAATAGCATGCGTAATATTCATGAGTAGGCGGGGCGGGAGCAACCATTGTGCTCACAGGGGTGGCAGGTGTGACTTGCATAATGAGGTCACGGTATTTGCTTCGAAAATAGCCGTCGGTCATATACTGTACAATGTACATGTACAATTGTACGTCACTTATTGAACGCCGTACCAAAATGACCTCCAAAATTGGTGGAATTCCCAAAGTATTAGTGGTTTCATTTTGTATCATTCCAGTAATTTATGAATCAAGTGTGAGTAAGAAACTCATGCTTTGGTGATTCTCCCGTTATTTTGTAAATTTATTTGTAAACTTTACACGGAAATCTCCATTTCTTCTGGACTTTTACGATGGAATAGTAATCTATTATAGCATCATATTTACCACAGGGTAAATATTCTTTGAAAAGAATTTTGGTGCAAGGTTGTACCAGGGCCGCGCCGTCGCTTGTTTTCAAATATTTGTGGTTAAGTTCAATAAGTTGCATTTTTATGTCTGTTTAACTCGGGCGTCATACAATCTCTTCTCAAAAGTTGGGGGGGGGGGGGGGACGGGGGCGGACAATATATATTACCTTGATCCATCCATGGAGGAATGATCCATCTATGTTTTTTCTAGCTCCATGCTTTAGATCAGACAAAATGCGAGCGCGAAGCCCTTATGGCGTGGGGTCCGGGGCCCGCTGAAGGAATTTTGGTCTCTGTGGTTCCGCGATCAGAGGCAAGTTCTGACCACTTTAACCATTTTTTTTTTAGTAAAAGATCATCATTTAACCATCATTTTCGAGTTTGGAGTCACTGAATCAGCTATTCTGAGCTACAGAATCATATAAAGGCTACAATATTTATTCGGGGACGAAAAAAGTGTGTTGGGGGGGGGGAACCAAACGATGTGATACCCCCAACTTTAGAAAGTGGGGAGGGGGTCGGGTCATGTCTCCCCGCCCCCGCCCCCCCCCCCCCCCCACCGATTGACGCAACAGTGATATTCAACCATGCGAAGTCAACTTGAAGAACATGACTCCAGCAGGACGAAAATAAAACGAGTTCCAAGAACATAATGGCGACATTTCCATACACTTTCTAAACTTTAATTTCCTTGTAAAGTTGTGGAGTGATATTTTTGTTCTTTTATCGAACTTGAAAAACTGATACGGGGCACATGGACAACTCGCCTGCGTCAAAGGGGCGGTTCGGATTGAATTTCAATGTTTTCATTTTTGTTTCAAAAACAATCCGCTTTAACCATGGGCATAGCGAGGGGGGGGGTGTCCAAATGACGAGGGGCGAAACATAATTATTACTGTTTATTTCATGTATATTTAACAAAATCGGTGTCAACTTTTCCACTCGGCCATTGATTTCTCCCTTAATTCGCTTTAGGTGAGTGCTTTGCCCCCCCCCCCCCCACCCCCACATAATGGTGCAAAAAGAAGGAATCCCACTTTTGACAGCAATGTTCACCTATTTGTTGAGCATATTTCAGAAATCCAATTTAATGGTATTCAAATATTGATCTTTAAACATAAGTGACGACAAAAATGAATGCATTGCAAGTGCATGTTTTGTCTCTGCGATATGGTATAGTTTAAAAATGTCATGTGCCAAACCTGTTTGTCCACGGACGGCTGTATTCCATCCGCTTGACTGAGCTCCGGAGCTTAATTTGAAGACCAAAAACACGACTCACTAGTGCACTGGACGTGGAAAATAGTGATTTTGGTAAATTGTATTCAAATTAGCATAATAACACTATTTTTGCGATTTTTTTTGAGGATTTTTTTCACCACGTATGGTTGAAGAGCTATACTTCACTTTAAACTAAAACATTTCAAATAAGTTAAGTAAGTAGGTTCAAATTCCCAGTCAAAAGTGTGTTTCCTTCTTTTTGCACCACTCCGTAGGAAAAAACTCCTCTATAGCGACGCCCATGGCGTGTAACCCGTTGCGAAGTTCCTGGGGTGTGATAGTTACAACATATTTGGGCCAGGGTACAATTCTCTACCGCGTTCAATCCATCATTACCCTGCTTTCCCCCTTGTACGGCGGCAGAGTAAATAAACACGTCCTAGGACTTCCAAAACAAACAAGTAAGTCACATTTGTTGACGGTAGCCCAGTAATAAAATGTTCACACGTCATAAATCACCCGGATATATGACTTGTGTCTTATTAGACATGGTTGAACGCTCCATGACCAACCGATTTGCCTGGTACGGCTGATAGCGTTTCTTGGTTTCTCTTGGAGAAGCTACTAGTGTTACGCATTGCCAGATAATTTCATCACTACAGGAAAATAAAATAAAATGTATGTAATTTAATTAGAGGCTTTCTGGAAGATCCCGTCGATAACTGAAGAAAAGAGCGGTGCGCGTAGTTCCTCAAGTTTGAAGGAATTTTAAGGTCCCGTGCAATGTAATGTTTTTAATGCAATCCTTGAAAATCCACCTTTGTGTCCCATTTAAACATTTGTCCAATTTTCGTTTTGCAATTTTCAAGGGTAATTTGGTGCCTGTTTGGTTTTATGCTAATGCAAATTTCCATATTCATGAGCAAATGTGTGATGTCAATTCAGGTAGAAACCTCAATGTTGCAGCCATTTCAGCACAAAAAGTTGCCAGAATTTTGGATATTTTCCTCTCGTACTTGAATTTTTTTTTCTTCTGTTGATTCTTAGTTGTATCAGTACAAGGCAGTAAGCCAGTGAGCAAACTTTTCTCACAGAACAATATCCCATTTTTTGGGGTTCACAATTTGAACAGAAAACCCCCAAACTGAACAGTGTTTCCTGAAATGACATCACAGCAACAACGCCCCTCAGTTTTAAATGTTTAAAGAAGTGTACTTTTCAACAAAATTAACCAAAAAGGCCTGTCAAACAGTGGCGTCACCAGACTTTTCAGTCTGGGGGGGGGGGGGGGGGTGCACAGGGGGGGGGGGGGGCACCAGCATTTGATGGGGGGGGGGCACTTAGGTGGATACGGATCGCCGTCCTGGGGGAGGGGTCTAAAGGGGAGGGGGTGCCCCCCTCCCCTTTGGAAAATTTTCGCATACGGAGGATGGGCTAGATGCAAAATGGTGCCACATTTGATGCTAAATTCGATCTGAAGATATCTCAAGAAATTGCTATTTTTGAGGTAATGATTTTAACAACGCGCAGAATTTTGCAGAGGATAGGGGGGCACCAGCATTTGATGGGGGGGGGGGGGGGGGGGGGGGGGGCACTCGGTTTTCCAGGGGGGGGCACGTGCCCCTGCCCCCCCTGGCCCCCCTTGGCGACGCCACTGCTGTCAAATAGTTTTCATACATTTAAGAGGAGTAAAAAAGTGCACAAAATATGTTCCTCAGAAAAATAATTTCACGGACCCTTTAAATTAATTTAATACTTTTCCTGAATTGTTGGCATTTTTTAACCACTAAGTTGATGCATGGATGAATCCTCCATGGTTGATGTACCACGGATCTACCTCAATTCCACCATAAAATGTTCCACTCAAACTAAAGTTCTCTCTCTCTCTCTCTCTGAAACACAGGATGGTTCATCGATATAGTTGACAAATTCAGATGTAAACCATTTTCAATGATCCGAGCACTTCTTGCTTTTTCCCACAAAAAGTGAGGGGCATATTCTCATTTTCCCTACTTTCTAATACTGAGCCTGGATTTCTTAGTCCCATTTTGAACCCATTTTTGTCGACCCTCCATCCCAAGGCCGAAGGTTCTTTTCATCCAGACATGATCCAGACAACAAACGCAGGGTCTTAAACATTACGTAACACCTTAAATATAGACAACATCCCGCCAAAACCAACGGACAAATAATGAATATTCATTGCATAATCTTAGACACGCCCATAACAGGACAATAGAATTTTAGTAGGAAAGTAACAAAGTATTGGAAAGAGGTGGGCCAAATTAAGATCCTCCTTGCATTTTTGATAGATTGGGTCTTGACAGCAAGATCCTGAACACAACACGAAGTCTTTACTTGGTGTGCGGCTGTGTTTGGGCATAATATCGTCACAAGAAATTGTTTCACTCGGTACATTTATAACTTACAGGTCTTGACACATCGCCCCAGGGAAGGAAGCTATTGTACGAACAACATCCCTATTACGTCCGGGAGCTCCATGGGTGAATTAACCGTGGGACTACGGCCAACGGTGCAGGCGAATGAACACGGATTTTGAGAATCACGGAGATTTGAAAACAGACTCTGAATTTGACTAATCCTGTCCAGAGAATCCCTCAAAAATGAAGGACTTGGACCCTGATAGGATTAGGAATAAAAGACAACATCGCCTTGTGGTATTTTAATGCCTGGAGAAACGCCCAGGAAATGAAAAGAACATTAAATGAAAATGGCAGTAGTGATATGCGATAAAACTCTTTTGGAATTTGGGGTATTGAAATAGTGGTTTAAATTAACTCGACAGCTACTTTTTATGAAAAGAACACAATTAGAATTTCCTATCAGCAAAAATACATTCTACAATTCTTCTTTTATTTCAGTGAAAGACCTTTTTTTCAAATTCAAAGTTTAATTGCTATGGGGCACACACATAGTACAGAAATGCTTTTAACAACCTCACAAATTTAAAGGCACTTTAGAAAACACAGAAATAGTATTTACAAATGATACTAACATTTTAGATTATTTAATTGGCATGAATACAATATACTTCACCTCAGTTCCAATTTTCTGTTTAGAAATTGGCAATCAATTTAGAAGAGGGAACAAATGAGCACCATTCATGTTTTTAAGAGAGGAACGTAAATGTTCTGGTTGTGAATCTAAGCAAATTCTGAAACAAAGCCTTAGACACTTGTAGCTCACAATTTCAAATTATCCTGTTCCAACATACCAATTTTCACGGTGTGAACTTATAGCTCTGAAGATTTTGCAGTGCAAATTCGTGGCATGTTTATTTCATGTAATAAAATAACAAAAATGTACGATGAACAAATGTATTGACAATTCCTTATAGTGTGTAAGTACCCTCATTTGTATAATTGTCATCATTAAAAAATTATCCAAGATTGTATTTTTCTGTATTAAAATAAATTCTAGAACCCTGCATAAACCAGCAGTCTTCAGAGATGGAAACATTTTTTTTCCTTCATATCCTTAGTAAATTTCATCTGCGTAAAGGCAAGTTCTAATAAGGCCTTGAGTTGACAATTGGGAAAAAGTTATTTCGGCAAATTTGTCTAGAACTATAAACAGGACACACTTCTTTTTTTCCACTCAGCCCCCAGCTAGCCTCCTTCTTAGCAACTCCTTGGCCTCATGTCTTCACTTTGACATGACCTGCGCGTTGGTGGAGGATGGATGCGAATTGTGACAACTTCCTCCATTAACTAGGACCTTCAGTCGAGAGAGGTGCTCCATAGCTCTGCAGAAAGAGAACAAACTGGATGATTTAATGAGGCAAAAGACAGACCCAGGCCAATTTCATGGTGATGTTAACCTCAAAATGAGCCATTTCGGTATTTCATCCGGGATAATTGAACGCTCGTCGAAGGCGTATTCAAATGCACAAGGAGATGGTCACATGACACTCGCACGTCAATTACGAGCAGAGTGGGCATGCGCATAACATCGCGATTACAAGAAGCGTCCATTTTATTCCGAATGACCTTTGACCTGGACTACGTCATTGAGATACCGAACTGGCTTTTTATGCTCAGCACAGATGCCATCTGCTTAGTAAAATGAGATTACCAGTTAAACTGTCATGCGATGTATATTGCTTGTAACGGTTACTGCTCAATAGTCCGAAGGTTCGTTAATCCGAAGGTTCGTTAGTCCAAAGGTTCATTAGTCCAAAGGTTCAATAGTACGAAGATTCGTAAGTCCGAAGGATTGATAGTCCGAAGTGTTGTAAGGTTCAATAATCTGAAGGTCTGAGAGTCCGAATAGACGATACAATTCGATAGTCCAAATCGACAATTATGTTGAACATTATTGTCAATGCAGACTTTTAACCTAGCGTGCTTTCTGATTAATGAAACTTGGGACTATTGAACATTTTTTCATTTCGGACTACTGAACCTTCGGGCGAATTAACATTATTCCAAATTCTGACTATCGAACCTTCGCAAAAATTAACCTTTGGATTATGGAACCCTTAGGCTAACGCACCTTCGGACTATCCAGTCAATGACTATCGAGTCCTCATGAATATTCAGATCCAGATCCATAGCTGCTAGAATTTCATTGGTTGCTTTGTCGTGATGTAAGTTCTTGCCTTTAACCTGATTGGTTGAAGTCAATGTGAGCTCAGTGTATGTGTATTTCTGCGGATGTTTTATTGCACTGGTTACCTCTGGAGAGACTTTCCGCCTGGCGCTTCGTCAAAGTTGGTCCCACTCCCTGACGACGAGGTCGTGTCTTTGTCTGTCACCTGCTTCCTAGCATTTGCCAGTCCTACCGTATTCTATGAAAACATAAAAACAATCAATATTTAAAACATAACAAGATGAGGCACGAATTCACCCGAAATTTGAGTCAAGCTTTAAATGTCTTACCTCAGGAGGGGTTGGACAACATCTCACAACAGCAACTTCAAGTAGGGGTGTGCATTTACGGATAGTATGGAAACCGGGAAGTACGTGAACCGGGAACTGGATTGAACTCAAACACGGGTATCCGGGTAAAGAAACCCAATCCCGCAATTAAAACCTCGGAAGTTGCTGCATTCAATTTGTTCATAAAGGTCCGCACAATAATATCGTCGCGTCAGTGCAACAAGGTCGTATCTCCTAAAATGGCATGAACGATGCAAAACGCGAGTTTTAGAATGTCAAAAGGTCGTATCTTGCTTAAAATAACCCGGATGTACACGCAAAGTCAATGGACGTTGAGATACGACCCTTGTTGCACGGAGCGTATTCGCGCGAGATACGACTTTGTTGCAGAATGGAGTTATGAACGCAAAACACGAGTTTTAGAATATCAAAAGGTCGTATCTTGCTTAAAATAACCCGGATGTACACGCAAAGTCAATGGACGTCGAGATACGACATTGTTACACGGAGCGTATTCGCGCGAGATACGACTTTGTTGCAGAATGGATTACGACCTTGTTGCACTGACGCGACGATATACTACCACATTGTGTATCAATGCAGCAAGATACATTCATGTAAGTGTGTACCGTCAGCTTTGTAGCTTTTTTCAAGGGCGTGAGTTGCTTCTCAAAAGTTGGGAGGACATACCATGATCAGAACTACTGTGAGGGTGAAGCCCTAACAGCGTGGGGTTCAAGGCGATCTGCATGAGGCAATTTCTGACCACGTTAAACATTTTTTTTAGTAAGAGATCATCCTTTAAACAGCATTTTCGAGTGTGGAGTCATCAGGGGCGTCAATCACTTCTCAAAAGTAGGAGGACAAACCTTGATCAGGACTAATGCGAGCACGAAGCGCGCAGCCCTTACGCCGTGGGGTGCGGGGCCTGCTTTCATTGTCTGAGAAGTTACCAAGTAATTAGTAAAGTTGGTTACAGGTACCCGATTCCATAATCTGGAATAGGTTCCTGACATCAGCGTTCAGGTACCGGTACTTGAGTTCAGAGTCACAGCCCTAACAAGTGTCATGAAGAAAGGTTTAAAGGGAATATACAACATTTGCAACATCGAAAATAAATTTACCAAGTTTTTTACGAAATACCTTACTAGGATGTTGGTACATGACAGTCTAAAGCATCCTGTAAAATTAAGGCCCCTGGTGTCAAGTCATTTTCAAGAAAATGGTACTTTTGTATACATTTCCAACGGTTGTCGGCCGACCACCGTTGGAAAAACCTAACTATTTTTCAACTACTGCTCCAAATTTACAATTTTTTTCAGTCCAAATTTTGTTTGCTATTGGTTACATGTTCATGAACGTTACGGGTGCAGGCCAGCTAGACTGGTTCCCTTACCTTACAATTTTCCGACATCTATGAATTGATCCATTTTATCTTTAGTGGAGTCAGGGAACCAGACTACTTAAACAATTTGGTTTTTCTTGGATTTTCAAGCATTTTCGAACACAAAACCTTGATATTTGATAATACAATATTTGATCTGTTATACTAACCCCTCAATTAGTTCCTTTCTGAAAATTACAACAAAAGCCAATGATGTGGTAAATAAAACATTTCATGGTTTTCCCACATTATTAGGGATCACCTTGAGTCCTAGCTTCCCCTTCACCCTGAAGGGGCCGGGTTATTCCCCCCCCCCCCCTTCAGATCTCGGCCATCGAGTGAAGAAAAATTATGAAACTCGGTGCATGCATAGAACAACTGAATATAAACGTACCCAAGAAATTTCATGACTGTAGGTTAAAGGGTTTTGGAATTATGACTAATTAATTATTCATATGCACCCATGGTAATCTGCTTTGTGTACACTACATATTGGAGAAATTCAGTTTTCATGGCGCGCAGCATCAAATCAATTTTCGCTGTGTGGTAACCCATGGTCGGAATTTTATGTTTTCGGTATCAAAAGATGTGTAAGACTCAGCTAAAAAGTCAGGAAAGCTCGGGTCGGTGCAAAATCTTTTTGCCAGGGTATCGTGGAAAAAGTTGGGGTGGACTCCGCCCTACCCCCTGGCCCTTTTAGGGTTAAAGGTGAACTCAGTGTTCTGTAGTTCATTTGGCACTGAGGGGGTCCGCTCATAAGTCCGACGCCTCATAGGTCCGACGCCTCATAAGTCCGACAAAATCGCATCCCCTAACCAAATAAAGGCCCATTAGTCCGACGCCTCAAAGGTCCGACGCCTCATAAGTCCGACGCCTCATAGGTCCGACGCCTCATAAGTCCGACGCCTCATTAGTCCGACAACGTAAAAACGAGGCGTTTAATTTGTCGGACTTATGAGGCGTCGGACTTATGAGGCGTCGGATCTATGAAGCGGAATTAATAAATTGTATGCCTCATAAGTCCGACGCCTCATAAGTCCGAAATTTCGGACTTATGAGGCGTCGGACCTATGAGGCGTCGGACTTATGATACGGCCCCGGCACTGAGATGGTAGACTCTAGAATACCGATTTTTGGGTGTGGCCCACTACTTCAACCTGAGAAAATTTGACATCGGTAGACCAAAATAACATCCTTAAAACACCCCTTACCTCAATTGGCCTGTCTTGTGTCAGTTTTCGTTGACATGTCTCTTAGGAATAAAATTACTAAGGCCAGCATCAATTGATGTCAGGCACTACAGATGTAGCAGCCGTTCCTCTATAAGTGTCTAATTCCTCTTGGCAGGTGTCACTGCAGAAGACCACTTAAGATTCCTGGGATTGTTTCAGATTACAGCTAATTGACCAGCTTGATCCTTGATAAATTTCCCAAGGTTGGCAAGACTTTTGGAGATGTCATGCAACGGGAGCTAGTGAGTAAACTTCACAGATTAGATTGGGATAACTTCAGTTTACACTATACAGGGTGGTCCCAAAAAAAACCCTTAAGTAATGGCATACTTTTACTACCCTGAGACTCAAACCACATACGTGTATACCAATGCATGGAGAATCTTTTTAGAAGAAAAATGAAACCAAGATCGCCCGATTCGGTCCAGTAGTTTTTGTTCTAGAGCCTATTTTGTGAAGCAAGGTGGGGTACTTTTATGTCCCAACGAGCGCCCGAGAATTTGACTTGCATTGTAATCGATAGAGGGATTGTTATGTAATAATACCCACATGAAAGAAGTGTGGTTCAGAAAATAGGCTCTGCAGCAAAAACTACAGGACTGAATCAGGATATTTTGGTATCATAATTCTTCAAAAGGATTCTCCATCAATTGGTACAGGTGGTTTGAGTCTCACTGATAGTGGAAGTATGCGGTCCCTGTATTTGGACCCAAATTGCCAATATCACAAGTGTTACCAGCTTTCACCCCTGCCCCATATCCTAGCCCCATCATCTCCCCATAACTATGTTTCCAGCAGCCCACCACGGAAGATCTCTGGACCATGGAGTGTCATGGCCTAGCGGTTAAGAGCACCGTACTGGACTCATGCTCTAGTGTTTCAGAGGCAGCAGAATGTGGGTTTGAGCCAGAGTCTGGACACTTGGGAGGTTCAAGTACAAACAAAAAAAGACGGACAATAGGGGGTCCCCTGGCAGGGAACATGCATGGTGCTTTGTGCTCTTGAGCAAGGCACTTAACCATTATTGCTTCGTGCTTCGGATGGGACGTAAAGCCATAGGTCCTGGTGTTGTGCAAGGCAATTCACGTAAAAGAACCAAGTAACTCTTATCGCTAGAAGGGGTTTGCCCTGGTGTTTCTGGCCTCCTGTTATAACTCCCCTGCAGAGTATTTAGGAGAAGAACCAAGTATCAAGTGCCACTGAGCAGGGTACTACCACTTTTTACAATAATGAAACAAAACAAAGAGGTAAAATGATACCATTCATCGGAATGGGAGGGGAGGTTTCCCGAAGGGGCAGTCAAGATTTGTGTCAACGTATTTTTGGCAAAAAGCTTGACAGTAGGGTTACAGCCCTTTTATTTCAGTACCTACACTACGCCGACAATCACACCACCAATTCAATACTTATTTTGTTTCTTCCTTAAGGGAAACACAACAGGCAAAATTTGGCAGGCCAGCTGTTTCAGTCATCAAAAACTCAAAGGCCGTTGTAAATCACTATCTCCCTGCTGGAACAGAATGTAATCCCGAATATGAATTTATGGGGCACACTTGTTTGGTTCTGGACGTGATGTTGTGATGCAGCAACAGGTTGCTTATTACATGGTGTCAAAGCACAGTAAGTTGGGCTTTTTAGAATTTACAAGAAAAAGGTTGTTTTTAGGAGTTAAAACCTTAGACTTTGTTTCACTGTGAAATTTGTGTGACAAAAATGTAGATTGCTCTGTTCAGAAGTGAATTTCTGTTGGTCCGAGGTGATTTTGGTGGTCATCACCTTCATGAAAATCATCTTCAAGTAAAATTAAATCCATGGTCAATCCATGGCAACAAGCCATGCTACATATAACCATGTAGCATGGCCATGGTCTATACCGCACTCCGCGTATTGCACTATTCTAAGATGCACGCGCCATTCCGTACAACACGCACATGTATTAAGATATAACCGCTGAAAAGTTCATGTACTGCGTGCGTGTTCAATCTTTAAAGTGGGCCAAGTTTGCTTGAAGATAATGTCGTTATCGTGCTCGCAGAATACGAAAAATGTAGTGCGTCTGTGTCCAACATACCACAAGGCCGAACAGACGCACTACATTATTCCGTGTTCCACTCACGCTCTCGAGATAACTAAAATTGTAATACAATTACAAGACAAAGATACTGGTACCAGCTTTTAATTCCTCAGTTGCGTAACTTTTGTTACAAATACTGGACTGCTATAATTGTATGTGATACCCTCTGTTATTGAGGCATACGTCTTTGTCTTTCACAGGCATATTATGAGGGAATGC